AAACTGTGGAACAGTTTACTTTCCAAGACCAAGCGATTGGATTCCCTTCCCATTAGAGATCGATAAATGGTATCCTTATCGATCTAGAAGGGGAAGGGAAAATACCCCACACGTACAAATTTTCAGCGTTTCACTAAATGACTAGGCCTCGGACTAGGCGTTTCGTGAAATGACTGATTTCACTAAAAGACTACGACATCTATAATAGGATGATTAAGGAAATTTGGGTTAAAAATTCAGTAATTTTTTGCATTGCACGCAGCACCGGTGAGGGTTTCGAAGTTTAGAAAACGTCCTTTTTTTACTGTTTTGCATACAGATACAGTACATTTGTTGGTACCAAAATTCTCTGATAAATGCAATTATAATTTCCATGCACGTACTTATAAGTAGGTGGTAAAATTTTGCTGTTTACGCTTGCCGTTTGGTTGCGATAGTGAGTTTTATTACCATTTAGGTTATCATTTGCGGACATGACTGATGACACGTTTCGCATTTTATTACGAGAAACTCTCGTGCGGTATTGCATTGTTGTAAAAAATGACCCTCCACTTTTTTGACGGACATAGACGTTTTGAAGCATAAATCCGAATCAAACAAAATCTCGGATGATGTAGGTCGTTCGGTCTGACGGTCCGTCTGTACTTTCATTTCCGATTAAACGGCTGAACCGATTGGAACCAAATTTGATACACATATTGTAAGACATAAATGGGCAGAATCGCTCATGCGCAGGTGTGCGGGTGGTATCTGCTATCTACAGCAATTTTTTTTAGAATTGGGATAGACTACTATACCTACTCGTTTTCGGGCTGCAAAAACTTTGCCGCAAGAGTATTCAGGCAATTGTCATCTGTGTCATCTGTTATGTTTCCAGTTAGTAAAAAAATCGAGGTTTTTTAAAACATTTATAGTCTCGACAAAAAAGATAATTTTCCCATAGAATACAAGACAAAATACGGTGACGCAAAATTTTCCTTTTCCTTTTCATTCTTTTCAAAAATCTTGAATTGAATTCTTAGTCGTCCGTTGCCCATTTGTCAGTAATTTCCAAATAAAAGAAACACGACGTTAATGGCATAATAGAATTGGTGCTTGCTGTGACTCTTTTTTAGCCCATTTTTCCAAAGAAGTTGGTTGCAACCACTTTCTCTCTCTGTCATTCTGTCCATGTTTTTTAAAATGTTAACCATAGAAGCATAGTAAACCATAGTAAAAACAAACATATCGCATATAAATTAAATATGCGCATGCGCGAATTACACAACGCCAACTTTCTTATTTATGGAGATATTTTTTGAAATTTAACCATAGATGCCTCTACTAAAGAAAAACATAGCGCACATAGGTAGCTATATGATCTTTTGGGAAGTACTGATCACTGCATGGAAAATGCGCTGAAGTTACTCGCTCTAAGGCGAAAACCTTTTTAACTTGTTTGTATTTTCTGTGCAATAAAAAATTAGTATTCGTATTTTTCGTAATTTGCGATGCCAGCTGTTTTTGTAAGGTCGAGATCACAGACCATTAACGGATAGATAAGCCTCTATCTGTTGCTTAGACACCGTACAGTACAATGGTATGGCAACCTTGATTTCTCCTGTCGCTCCAACTCGTTGACACCGCGGTAATAGACGTGGTCGGATTTAAGATACGTGGACTGGTTTTTTTTTCCAATGAAGAACGAGCAAGTACTACTAGGTCAGTTTCAGGACCAAAGCCAAAAAGTGATAGACCTAAGATAGATGCCGGTGATTTTATGAAGGACGTAGGTATAAGCATAGTGCAGACTTTCCGCTAATGTGCAGAATTACATTTAAAAAATGAATTCTACCATAGCATATTTCGTTTTTCAAAAATATAACACTAAAAAATTGAATATTGATTAAAGGAAGATTACAAAAATTCAAGAATCTTTTTGAAATTTCTTCGAATTTTTTTAATCGTTTGAACTTTTGCTTTATTTTAATTTCCCGCGTATCTATTAAGCGAGCGAATATTTTCAAATTTTGATTCTATTATTTTTGGTTTGACCCAAAAAGAGCGCATGACGCCTGTATTACTTTTTGATAGCACTAAGAATTACGGAGATACGTTATAAAACTAAAAGTGTCGAAAATGGGGTACCCTGTACTTTATCATACAGTGTTGGTTCCTGAATTTCGAAATCCGACAACTTTGTTGAGGAATTCGAAACTGTTCGGGAGTTATCTTGTCCACAGACGGACGGACAGAAAGTCCAAAATATGAACTCGCTAGGAGCCTGTTAATAAACTGCACGAGCGACAAGGTTGCCGAATATTGACCAAAATTCAATTAGTCCCTTGACCGTCAACCTATTGCTAAAAACAGAATTGAAAAATTCGAAACCGTTGGCGAGTTATCGTGTCCACAAACGGACCGACGGACGGACAGAAAGTCCAAAATCATAAACTTGCTTTTTGTCGCTTGTTAATAAGCGCCCAAAACATATACTCGAACGTATGTTCTTTCACAATCCACATAGGTATATAAATAAACATGACTACATTTTGGTACCTACTTACATACTTTTTAGCGCATTTTCTAACCAAGTTGGGTGCGCTACTGCACGGTCTGTCTGTCTGCCCGTCTGTCCGAGGTCGTAACCATTTAGTTCGTTCTTTTTGAATTCGGTATAGCTTATAGCTCTGGCACCTCAGTCAACAAAAATCTTGACGATTAATGCGAACATGCGCAGACTGCGCAATATCAACTTTCTTATTTATTATAATATTTCGTTGAATTTTTAACCACAGATGCTTCTGATAAAGGCAAATAACGAGCTATCAAAAATGAGTGGCGGTCGAGTCGCCTTTGAAATGTTTGTTTACATGGGGAATCGTACCTTAAACTTCCAAAGGCGACTCGACAGCAACTCATTTTTGATCGCCCGTTAGTAAAACAAGTTAAAAAGTCAATTCAGTTCATAACTAACGGAGATGTCAAAGCGATCGGACATTTCTAAACAAAGTTATCGTTCACACGGACAGATAGAGGGACAGACCAACAGACAGACGACAGACAGCAATACAAAATTATAAACGATCTCTAGGATCGTTAATAAACGGCAAAAGTGAAAAATTATGGAACATGTAAAAAACGGTTTGTTGGTTTTTTACAATAACTTTTAGCAATAAACGCAGAAAAAATTCCTTCCTTGGTGCAAGCCTCGACACCATTTATTTATTTATTTATTTATTGTCCCTCTTGTTTTAGGCCCTCAACAGGCTTACGCCCAATTACAGAGTGACCCGCATAATGCTTTTTAGAGGTGCCCCTGCAGAAGGTCTTAAGTTGTTCTATACTACTCCGGTATTTACCTTACGAGTTAGGAAAACTGCAGAAAAACCTAATTCGGAGTAGCCGGCAGAATGCTCGAAACTGATCTAAGGAAATTCCCATCTCTGCCACAGATGAAAAATTCACCTCAAACCAGGTTCGAACACCCGACCTCCGGATTTATACCCCAACGCTCTATACCACTGAGCTATAACGCACCAAATAGCGAAAAAAATAGAACAATAGCTCTTAAGATAAAGAACTAGTAGCGTCTCATAGAACGAGCGGACGGACGGACAAAGGGGCCACAATAGTGCATTTTATTTTTATTTTTGTGGAAATGCGCTAAAAACACGCGCGCATGCGGAGATTGCGCAATGCCAACTTGGGTACCTATTTATGGATTTTTTTAAAATTATAACCACAGATGCTACTTCTAGTAAAGAAAACATAATGCAAATAGCTATGTCTAGGAATACTGAGTTCACATTTTATCCAACTGCCGTGTATACTATACATATACTGATATACACTAACTAGATAGTGTACAAACCGAGGTACAAACCAAGCAGCTATTTTAGTGAAACGTGGATTTCCCATCAAGATATCCGCATCATCCATTTGGATAGTTTACATCTAAAGTTTACATACTATCCAGCTAGTTGTTCAACAAAGAATTTTGGATTCGTTATTTTAATGTTGAAATTCTTGAAAATCACCCACATACCATGAAAAAACACAGGTTCTATGATATAGATGTCAATCGAAATATTTTGAGCCTTTGAGTTATTTGAAAAAAAAATTTTTGGTTTCCTTTGTCACTCAATTTTTTATCACCGTAGACGCTTCTGTGACCATCAAAGAAATATCCATTTTCGGGTCTTGTGTACTGAGGTACAACAGTGCGAACATTGTGGACGCCGATTCTTACCCGCAGTCAAGTGGCTGAAATCTCCCCCGTTAAGACGTTTAATAAAGCCCAATCAAAAAGTATTAATTTTATTGTTTTTTGCACATCCGGAGTTTTTATTTTTTCTTAAGGCAACTGAAATTCCCAAATTATCAATACCTATTTTTCTGTTCTGGCCATCCAGACGTTCACTATGGGCGTCCTCTTTGTCGAAATGCGTAATGTACCTGTTTTGGGGGTAATAAAAAGGGGGTTGGAAGCTATTTATAAAAGTAACAACCTTTTGCTTACGCTCTCAAATTTTTCGGCGGGCTAAAATTACGACTACGCATTTGAATAATTCTAAAAATACTTTTCTTTAAAAACCCACTTATTTGTTATGTATTGACATTTTTTAACTTTCTAAACATTATGGAGCTTTCGTTATCGGCCCTAGTTCTTGATCGCAATTGAGATCGGAACTGCATCAGCAAGGAAATATTAATCGGAACTGCATCAGCAAGGAAATATTATTCAAAAGAAACAATTAAATTTATGGTTGATATGGCTGCTGTATGATCGTCAACAATTCCATTGTCCTTCATCATCTGCTGATTAAATTGCAATCATTAAATCGGCGTAGAGATACGTAACGCCTAGGAAAGGTTGGGATATATGTGTCCATAAACCATAACAAATTGTAAAAAGACAATCATAACATCATTTGTAATTACCGTTACGCAATGAAATAGATTATTTTTTCACGTGCTCCGCCGTCACATGTTTTTCAGAAGGTAAATTTTTGTTGCAGATACTCGACTTATCATTCAACCGTATACGAAAAATAACGAAAGACGAAATAGGAAAATACAAAAGAGTAAAAATTCTGTACTTATCCGATAATTTACTAACAAATTTGGATGACTCGACGTTCGAAGATTTAGGCGACCTGATCACGTTGGATTTATCGCTGAACGCCATCGTACAACCACCCCCAACGCTATTTCGACTTCCGTCACTTAAGCGTCTATATTTAAGCCAAAATCAGAACATAAACATAATCGATATGATCGAACAGGCGAAACCGATCAGCAGTCCCTTGGAATTGCTGGACGTCAGCTTCGACGAGCTGAAAACTCTGCCAGATCTCGGGTTACTACCCTATCTGCTATTGTACAATATCTCCGGAAATCACTTGCTTAATTTGAAAGTAAGCGACATAGCCGGCGTTTGCAATTTGAAGGTGTTGGCGAACGCGAACTTTTCGGCTTCCTTTCAAAACCCCTGCGACTGTTGGAATTTTCAACAGTGGTTGCGCAACAGGGACGTCGAGTTTACTCAAATTCCTTGCCAGATTACACAAGAGAGTGAGTATTTTAGATATGATGCCACCCGACATCCATATAATTCACTGTTACAGATTGCCCATATAACATCTCCCAGGAAGATTTAAAAACATTCAACGACTGCAAATCTAGACAGGAGGTTGATCGGAAAGCGACTCTTTTCGTTATTGGTATAAGCGCCGCAGCGGTAATAGCGGTGTTAGCGTTAGTAATAATCGGTTACATTATATATCGCAGGAAGAGGAATAGAAAATTTCTACGGAAAAAACAGTCCAATATTCTCTTGGATGAAAAAAAGGAAACTGCGGGTTTCTTATGAACTGGTGCCATTTAAAAAGTGATACTATTTTTGATAGTTACCTATTACGAACTAGAGCTGTGTTAATTGAATATTATTTTAGAAACTTAAAAAGTTTTTCTTATTTATTTGTTAGTTTTACGTTTTGTAGGTTGTCTTCATTTTGTATTCGATTGCAGAGTACAGGGTTTTTTTGTTTTGGAATTTGAAAGCAATAAATGTTTTGTTTTATGTTTCCACATGATACTTTTACTCAGTAGGTACTACAAACCACGCGAGTGCCATCTGCACTCGAAAATGCACACTATATCTCTAAAGATTGCGTCCAATCTTATTCAGAAGTATCTATTCATAGGGGGAGCCCGAGCGAGCAGGCATCACTTTGGCACACCAATATGCCGGGAGTTACCACATTCTCTTTGTCGGTACCCACTTCTGACGTCACGTTCAAAGTTTTGATTCCACCATCGGTAAGATCTCGTAGCGCAAAACACGTTTTGGGCACCCGAAATCGACTATCCCTCGAAGACAAGCGCCTTGCAAAAAGTGGTTAATTTCGTCTCTCGGAAAAATAAACAAAATTGCGCCACGCAGGAGTTGTGCGCGTTTACAAGGTCTTTCCCACTACACCAACTAGGAAATAATGGAACCAATACTGTAGAAGAAGATAGGAAAAAATCAAACACGCTCGGTGATGGCGCCCAGATGTCGCCGACCACACATCATAATATGATGTGTGGTCGGCATATTATGTAGCCCCATCCATAAAGTTGTTAATTATGGGGTCTATCAAGCCGACACTGAAAATGTTGACTTATCCGATACTTACCGTTGGCAACTTTGGACCAAACTACGAGCAGAGCCACCTACCTTTCAAGTCGAAACGGTGGACGTTTCGCTGCACTTTTGAATTGGGATAGCAGTTGGCCTGATATGGGTGGCACGAATGAACTCCTACGTTGTGTAATCGGTTCTTGTATGTGTTGGGACGTGAGACATAATCGGGAAGGGAATTAAATAAGAGACAGAACTTTTGTGCGTAAGAAATGACAAGAACAAATAATACGCACTCAACAAGACCATACCAGGGAAACCTTCTACGGGACAAAAACCTCGGCATAGGCCACACAAATACATGAAATAAATCACCTACAGCAATAAAATGCAAGAGAAAATACACATAAATAAAATATCTCAAATGTATGATAAAAATCAGATAATCAAATTAAATGCAATTAAACAAGTTCACATAAAACAAAATACAGAACACATCATAAATGCAGTGGAAAACCTGTTAAATCAATTCAATAACACATCATGTAAATGATGTAGCTCTACTCCAGCGTTCATCAGTTAACATAAATTAATTTAACACGAAAAGTACATGTGAGAATGCCAATATTCATGTGAAAATCGATTATCGCTCAAGCAGAACATATTTTAAATAGAGGAAATGTTAATGAGAGGGCCCCTAAATATCTTGCATTGCTAAGATGCCAAGAACTGCAATCTGCACGAGACGAGTAGGCAACAGATACAGCGGAAGATCGAACTGTATTAAGTACCTACTCCACGAAGACAGAATGAAACACTCGCACACACAAACATCGAAACATCAAATAAGAGAGCTCCCCCTTCGTTTAGCTAACGCACAAGAACTGCAGCGCCCCACGAATAAGCAACATCGCACTGATACAGAAATAAATACTATAGAACAAAATAATAGCATAATCACGTACAGTACAGGCCCCGTGGCCAGAATGAAGTAACAGGTGGGTCGGTATTTTCCGGGGGCGGGGAGGCGGGGCTTAAGAAGTTTTTGATAGACTTCCCCTGTAGTTTTTGTAAAGAAACCATCAACCGTAATTTCCAGTGGAGGCAAGACCACGTTCTAGATGGGGCTCAGCCCCACCTGGCCACCCCCTGACTACGGGGCATGGTACAGTATAACAAACAGGATTCATCTAACGGTACTCAAAAACAAAAGCGTGGAGTACGCCATATTTAGATATCGCAGTTTATGCAAAATCAGCAAAATGTAAATAATATCAAATTGTGGCAAGAAATTCAATGATTAATAGTTTAGTACCTACAAGAAAGATTGGCAGATGGCAAACCGAGCCTCCTCCAGGACATTCGTGGGATGGAATCGTGGAGTATCTTTTCAAAAATTCTTCAGTTCGTTTAATAAATTTATAGTTCTCTATGTGAGATCATTATTGGCAACCCACTGCCTGGTACAAAAATGGTCGTCTTATTTGTTTCGATTTATTAAGGGAAAACAACAGAAGCAATAACTATTAACAACCCTGGTGATCATGATACTTGTTAAGTTGTAGTATCATGCCTAGGGAGGAATCAAGGTGACTTTTGAAGTCACAAAGTCACCTTGGAGGAAATGTTTTCCAGTGCATAGGTACCATTTTAATTAATTTAAAAATTATATGTTACTAAAATAATTACTAAATTAAGTTTTAAATAAGAATTGCAGAATGTCTCGCAGCAATAATTGCACAAAGAACTTACACGTGCACTTTGAGAATACACGGAGCAATTTATCGTGCAATTTCTTGCGGCAATGGATTGTTGCAAGCATTCCAATAAAAACTACATCATCTTATAATATAGAAGACGCATTTTTTACTATTTTCAATTCAACTAAATAAACGCGACAACGTTGCAAATTTTTTTACATATTTTCACTACTGCCTAACTTCAAATGAGTTAATTTCAAATGTCAAATTGCATTTTCAGAAACAAAATTTGCTTGTAATCGTGTAAAAACAAAAATTGTTAAAAATGCCAGACCATTTAGGAAATGATATGCGTAAAATAAAAGATGAAAAAGAAGAAAAGGAGATTAAAGGTATATAAATTATGACGACTCCCTAATTTTTAATCACACATTTTCAGCACTTGATGAAGGGGATATTGCGTTATTAAAAACTTATGTAAGTATACGATAGCGACGCATAATGTACCTAATGAACTACATTTAGGGACAAGGGCAGTACACTAAAAGCATTAAAACAGTCGAAGAAGATATACAAACTATTATAAAACGAGTGAACGAACTAACTGGCATTAAAGAATCAGATACGGGTCTTGCTCCTCCCGCCCTCTGGGATTTGGCGGCCGATAAGCAGACCTTACAAAATGAGCAACCCCTACAGGTAGCTCGTTGCACGAAAATCATTAATGCTGACACCGACGATCCGAAGTACATAATTAACGTTAAACAGTTCGCCAAATTCGTTGTGGATTTAGCCGATTCGGTTGCACCCACAGACATCGAGGAAGGAATGAGAGTTGGGTATGTATCCAATGTTTGTCGCATATTTGATTGCTTAACGAACAAAAATTAGAGTGGATCGCAACAAGTACCAAATTCATATACCACTACCACCGAAAATAGACCCCACTGTTACCATGATGCAGGTGGAAGAGAAACCGGACGTGACGTACAGTGATGTAGGTGGATGCAAGGAGCAGATTGATAAATTGAGAGAAGTTGTTGAAACGCCCTTATTACATGTAGGATGTCTGATTTGTAAAAGCGTTTTAAACTCATCACGATTTTTAGCCAGAAAAATTCGTCAAATTGGGTATCGAGCCTCCAAAGGGCGTTTTGTTGTTCGGTCCGCCAGGTACGGGAAAGACCCTATGTGCTCGAGCTGTGGCCAATCGTACGGATGCCTGTTTTATTCGAGTCATTGGCTCTGAGCTGGTACAAAAATATGTCGGTGAAGGCGCTCGTATGGTACGTGAATTGTTTGAGATGGCCCGTTCTAAAAAGGCTTGTCTAATTTTCTTTGATGAAATTGATGCAATTGGCGGTGCCAGATTTGATGACGGAGCTGGCGGGGATAATGAAGTAAGTCGAGTTTATTCTCCTTTTATGGTATAGTAACGAATTTATAGGTCCAACGTACTATGTTGGAACTTATTAACCAATTAGACGGCTTCGATCCTCGCGGCAACATCAAAGTATTAATGGCAACCAATAGGCCCGACACTCTTGATCCTGCACTGATGCGACCGGGACGTCTTGACCGTAAAGTAGAGTTCGGTTTGCCAGATTTGGAGGGCCGCACGCATATATTTAAAATTCACGCTCGTTCGATGTCCGTGGAAAGAGACATTCGATTCGAATTGTTGGCCAGATTATGCCCTAATTCGACCGGCGCCGAGATTAGAAGCGTTTGCACAGAAGCGGGAATGTTTGCTATTAGAGCACGTAGGAAAGTCGCAACCGAAAAGGACTTTTTAGAAGCCGTAAACAAAGTTATTAAATCTTATGCGAAATTTTCCGCTACTCCAAGATATATGACTTACAATTAATTTATTTTCTGTGCTTAACAACGTGTAATTTGAATTGCTATAATGTGTTTTACTTTTTCTATTACACTATTTATCATTTTGCATATTTTTTTTCTCAAATATATGCACACCCGATATCGAGTTTGTCGCTTCGTTACGATAGAATTTCGAAGAGTTGTCTGTGGTTACATTTTTGTGTAATTGTTTATTGTACTGGGAAGAGTATTTGGATTGTTTTTTTGGCAGCCGCTGAATGCCCTCTTGCCAGGGAAGAAGGGAGGCAATTAATATTTGAAGATTACAGCGCAGATATGTGGAGTTTTGATTAGCATAATCTTGCCCCCAAGATAGATAACTCACCTCTAGTTTCGGTGTTTCTAGTCTACAGTTGAATGTCTTAAGACAATCACGGAATTAGGTGTCGTAACTCATTTGATTACAGTTTGTTTCCACCCCCGTGACTGCTTCATTCGCGAAGAAAATGTTACTTACAAACAACAAGTCAGTACACACAAACAACTCCGTAATTTCCACATATTAAAATAAAATGATCAACACAACATTTATATGAATGTTAATTATGTTAATGTTATTTCTGGGACAAGACCAAGTCAAGTAATCAACACATAAACATAGATTAAGCAAACATTACACCAAAAACGTAAATGATTACAAACAAAAGGATAACGGTATCAAACATGTGATTCGGTATTACGGTTAAATATAGCAAATTTAAAAAACAAAGATTGAAACAAAAAATATAAAATGTTGCATACAAAACATAAATACGAAATAAAGAAATGTAAAAATTACTGCAGTGAATAACAAACATTTACGGAGCGATGCTTCCGCTATCGCCATTCAAAAACAATAACCAACGTTTTACATTCGTGCTCTCATCAGATGGCCATGGCGAAGACAGCTTTTTCCCATATATATATGCTTTTTCCCCTCCTAAAAATTGTGTGGTTGCCAACTCTCAAAAATGTGTGCATCGTCGTAAGTTGTATATACAGGGTGGAACCTCTCACTACTATACCACAGATACACGTTCTTTACGTATATCTGTGACTATACGTATATAGCACAACAGACTCGTCCGCCATGTTTGGGGCCCACTGACAATTGATGCTTGTTACTGTGTTATTATTTAAATAAAAACCATTGATTTTTTCAGCGTTCATTTATGCATAAAGATAACATCTTAAACCTTAAACACTTTTTTTGTCCGCAGATGTGGATTGTCAGTACTGTACAGTAGGTCATTACGTCATATTAAATTGCCACAAAGCGACTAGGTACGTTATGACGGTTCCCAAAACCTGTAAATACATTCTCTTAAATATCGTGGTTGCCCTAATTTTAAGCTTACTGAGTAAATCAACGTACCATCAAGAGGAAAGATACCTTTCGCAGAGAAGGTAAATCTCTGATGGTACAATTGTAAGAGCAACCTCGATAACTGAAAAAATCAGATAAACCTCAAATAATGGGGTTGCCTCCCCCCTTACCACTTCATTGCACTCTTGGTCCACGATTTGCATTCCAATTCCAATATCGGCTATCGTATCTACCAGTAGGTTAAATTCGTTTTTCGTGAGGACTGTAGGAACGACGATATTTAACAAAATCCAAAAATAAGTAACGTCAACGACGATTGAAGAACCTTCAATCTTTGCTTCGTATTTCATCACTTTAATCATGTGGAAAGTGTGAAGGAGTATTTCGAGAAAAAGTTGGGGTATCACCACAATAAATTGCCATACGAAGGACTTGTTAACTAGATCGTTTATCCGGAACAATTTGGCGTAAATGTCTCCACATGCCAATAGCAGCTTTGCTGTAGAAGGTGCGTGATTTTGCTCGAAGTGGGTGAGGAATATTGCGTTTAAATGTTGAATGTTTAACTTAATAAGTAACAGATAAAAAATCCACATGGTGGATAGCGCGTGAATTGCGATATGAAGAGTACTATACAGTATGGAATGTGGATGTTCCCAATAAAAAAGGGTAGCTACTAAAACGATAACTTTTAGAATAAATAAGATATTCACGACATACGTGAATGGTATTGCCTTCTTGTAGTTTATTGGGAATCCTAATTGCTGAAAATCTTCTTGCACCGCAACGAAACCGTGTAAAACCTTGACTAGGTTGCGCCCGTTGAGGTTGGTGAAAAATATACACATAACCGCCGTCAAGAGATGATGGTGAAAGTGTACCAACTCGATAATCAAGCCAACACCACGTTTGATTTGTTCACGGATCGTAATTGAAACATGCCCTTGTATTACGACGTATCCGATGGCGATGAACAAAATTGACAAGCGCGCGTAGTAAAACATGTTTCTGCCGAAACGAAAAAGGAATCCATTATTACCGTTCTTAAACAAATAAGTAAACGGGGCCAGGCAAAGAAATTCGGCGACCAGCAAAATCGGTTCTACCACACGATAGGGTTCCATCACGTTTGGACTTTCAATATTGTTCAAAGCGAACGTTGATGACTTAATCTTGACGGCATTGTGAGTGACTACCCCATTTCATTATATGGTATTATTTTCGGGATCCGATGAGAGATAGTCGCATTGTTCGATCATGAATTGCAGAAATTTTAAGGGAAAGGGATATATTGAAAAAACTTGTTGTAAATAGGTCATTTTGGGGTAATCGAATTTAATAACAACATGTATTATTTGCGAGTTTTTTCCACTGCATAGGTAGCGTTTTTTTAGGAAATGTGTCTTTAACTGACAGAGTGTTTTATATAATTTATTCATATTTTATATATTCTATTCATATAAAATCTGATTCCACGAATTGAGCTCTTTCCAACAAGACCTATTATACGTGAAAATCTGTTAACCTAATCCGAAGTTACATTCAATAACTTAAAGAGATGTTCCCCTTCCCCCACCCCTCAAATTTTATGAGCTAGAGCAATTTGTGGTGCTTCAAAATTGATACAAGATTGCTATGCATGTATTTTTTAAGCATGATTGTTGTGTATATTTTAGGAAAAGTCATCGTACGCCCTCTAGCAGCGAAGTTAGAAACTTGAAAATAATTTCCAGCGATTTCTCTTGGCCCCTTTTGTTAACAAAATTTTTTCCCGAAGCTGTGCAATTAACGGTTCCATAGATATGGCCTGTGACCATTATTAATGGGCCACCCTGTACATAGTCTTTTCCGTGGTTCGTTTGAATAAAGTATTGTGCAAGTGTTTGAGTAAATAATTTATCTCTGATTACGGTTCTACTGACTTTAACAGCTAAGTATATATATTATGGCAGAACTATTACATATTTATTTGTGTTCTTTTTTACAAGATGTATCTTTTGCTATAAATTTCTTTTAAGGTCGATTCGCACTTGTGCAGCACTCAACTCGGCGACGCGACGCCAAGACGCGCTGCAAAGTGTAGCTATAAAAGAGTTCCTGTTTTTAAATGTATGCGTGGTTACAATTTACGACCACGTGTTTATTAAACCCATAAAATTTCTATTTCTCTGGTGTGATATAATTCTGAACTTTTGATTTTATTCTATAATTTTGCTCACAAAAGCTCATTCCACAAGAAGTTCGTCCCTACAAAAGCTCAAATCTACTCCATAAGGTTCAAGAGGATACACGCCTTTGAATATATGTCATGCACTACTATGTTTTCCGTTATAGAAAGATTTTTGAGGGAAATAGTAGCCTTCTTGTGGGCGACTACATTGTTTGTGCAAATTAAGAGTTGTTAAATCCTACAGCACGGCTTGTAATTAAAAGAATTGATAATCATATTTAGTTGAAGCACCCTATACATACACAGTTAGTGTTTTTGGTGGTATTACGTTGGCTATCGCCAATTTTAAATTTGATGTTTGCTTTTAGGTTATGTCATGTAGATGAGCTCCCGGCAAAAACCTTTGTGAGCTTATTAAAATAAGAATAACACCATGACTGAGGACAATCATTCTCAATCAGAAGACACATTTAAAATACTAGTTGCTACTGATATACATTTAGGATACGCCGAAAAGAATGCGATTAGAGGTAATAGACTTACTCCTTTTCAAAGTGAGGTATAATTTTTATTTCAGGTCAAGATTCGTTCGTCACCTTTGAGGAAATATTACAATTAGCTTCTAAGAATAAAGTCGACTTTCTACTTTTGGGTGGAGACCTGTTTCACGAGAGTCGACCAAGCCCTTATTGCATTAACAAGTGCTTGGAGTTACTGCGAAAGTTCGTATACGACTGTCATTTTGTATACTCTCATTACAAGTTCGGTTATGCAGGTATTGCCTTGGAGACAATCCGGTACAAATCGAGTTTCTATCGGATCAGTCCTACCACTTTCAGACACAAAGACATTCGATCGTCAACTACGAGGATCCGAATTTGAACGTTTCGATTCCCGTATTTTCAATTCATGGCAATCACGATGATCCTACAGGTTTGTACATTTTTCAAAGACGACAAGGGGTGAGCTCGTGTTTTAGGCAATAAGCAAATATCGGTGCTAGACGTGATAGCAGCGTCCGGTTTAATTAACTACTTCGGACGTTTGAACGATTACAAAATGATCAATATTAAACCAATTCTATTGAAAAAGGGGAAATCAAAGTTGGCCATTTATGGTTTGTCGCATATTAAAGATGAACGGTTAGGACGATTGTTTCGCGACAAGAAGGTAAGGGCGGAAATGTTACTGTGGATAGCTCATGACCAGGAAATTGAGGAAAGATAATTCAGGTCAATTTATAACATGTGATGAGCTGTCTGTAGTATATTTACATCTGTGACAGTAGGTTGATCCTTTACTTAATGGTTCAGGTGTTAATGAAAAGGCCACAAGGCGAGGACTGGTTTAATATTCTCGTGTTACATCAAAATCGTGCCGCGAGAGGTGCCAAGAATTACATTCCTGAAACGTGCATTCCGAGTTTTATCGATTTGGTGATCTGGGGGCACGAGCATGATTGTCGGATAGCACCCGAGCAAATTGAAAAGGGAATTTACATTTGTCAACCAGGTACCATTTTGCGCACATTCCCCGTTGCTAAGGCATTTGTTACAGGCAGTTCGGTAGCAACATCCCTCGCCGCCGGCGAATCGATTAAAAAGCATGTGGGTCTGCTTCAGGTGTATCTGAACAGTTTTAAAATGATTGCGTTACCTTTGAAAACGGTACGGCCGTTCGTTATCGACGAGTTCTTCTTGGAAAGTCCCGCTTCGGAGAATTACCAGTTAGCGAAACCGAGCGATCAGGCTATAGAGATGGTTAAGCAAAAAATTGACGAGATGATTGACGCAATTAAATCTCAGCATAAAGGTAGGTAGTCGCATGAGATGGATTTGTCTAAATTATGTTGAATGTTTTAAAAAAACAAAAGTTCGGAAAAATTATTTAAGTATGTTACAAGTTCGTCTTTCCGGACTTCCCCTTTCTCCACCATTCTCAAATTGGAAAAAATTACCAAAGTGCACAGTTAAATGAGAAAAACCGCCTCGTAGTATGTATCTAAAACATTGAAAGAGTGGGTAGGTTCATTTAGAACAGCCCTACTTTCCTGATGGCGGTCCAAGATAGTTCATTTAGAACAGATTAAGGAAATATAATCTTCAAAATAACAAGGAAATGCATAATAATAGGGAAATATGTGTATACTACTTTACTGTGACTTTACTATAAGGAAGTAAACTGCAAAGTTACTTAAACATGACTAAGCACATTGTTGACAAGATTCCCATATCAGCATTTAACGTAATTGACATAGGTTAAGGAACGTTAATCTGTGATATAAATAGCATGTAAACGCTTACATGTCACTTGTCAGTTAACCATCTTCAAAAGATTTGCTTGGGAGAGCATTAGAATTTATAACAAATGGTACAGGTTACTTTCCATAAAGACGGAAAAGTCTAAGGCGCGGTTCCCACTGGAGCGATGCGATAAGCGATGGAACATGAGCAATCTTTTATCGCCCGATTCAACTTTTATCCTCGCAACACTCCAGTGCACACTGGAGCGATAAGATAGCCTCTAGGATAATCAAAAGAGCAGTTGTTTTGATCAGTCATCATGAGTTCCTCAGAGCGCTACTGCGAACTGTGGAATCTGCCCAATTGTATTGGCTCCATCGATGGAAAGCATATCCGCGTAAAGTGCTTTAAGCTTTTCAGTTATTTGTTTCCACGCAACACCTGTCAAATCAGTCCTGCTATAACTTTTCAATGCATAGTTCCATAAGCACGCTTTCTGCTCCACCAATTTCACGAAGGAAATAGAGGATTGCACGTCTTCTTGCTGACCCGGCATGATTAATTGGACGTGTGGAACGATACTGCGCTCAAAGCGACCCGGCAGCTATGTCTCCCGCCCCGACGCGACTCCGATATTTATCGGTGTAGTATCGCGATCGCTCCAGTGTGTACTAGATAAGTTGCTTCCATTACGTTTGCACGATTATGAGTGATCGGTGTCGAATCAGGATCGGGTTGCTTATCGGATCGCCTGTTGCATCGCATATCGTATCGTTCTGGTGGGAACCGCGCCTAAAGTAATAGCGCAACCTTTTTTCCAAAATATTAAAAACAAAACAAGTATAAATTATGTACCGGCCTACCGGATGTCCCAATAAGACTGTTCCCTGGCCATATCTCGGGAACCGTTCGTCATATGATTTAGGGGTAAAAAAAATTACTGGGTAAATGGGTTATGAAGAATCGCTGGAAAATAGTTTCAAGTTCTAAAAATGACCACCAGAGGGCGTAACTGCCATCTTAAATTTTAAAATTGCATTTTCTTTAAAATTCGCATAATAAACTAAACATTCTTTTTTCACATTTTTAAAGAGAAGCAGTTTATCTATCATTTTCGTAAAAACAAAAACTCAGTTATTTCAAAAACAAAGATGGTGTGGGGCGTTCAATTTTGCAATAACCTACTTTAACTTCTAAGGGTACGAACAGAGTGGAGGCAGGTTTCTCGCTTACCGGTTACCAACGCCGAATCGCGCTTCTCGCTTTGGATATCATATAATGTTTTCAAATTAGCGTGTACGGAGTGAAAGCAGGTTAAAACTTGTCGGCGCCGGTTGCCTGCGTCCACGCTTTTGTCGGAATAAAAATTTAGTTTTTTCTGCTGATTCTCGCGGGAGTTTTGGATAAAGAATGCGAAGCTACGTACCTACGTCTAAGGAAAACCCTCTGACAAAACCCCAGACAGAGCAGTCGGCAGCGGGAATCGAACTCACAATCTCCCGAATAGGAGTCGGCAACGCAACCACTGCGCCATCGGCTTCGCTTTTTCTCGCTTTTATTGTGTGCAGTCACAGCGCGAGAAACCTGCTCCTATCGGCGCGAGATACCGGAAAGCGAGAAACCTGCTTCCCCTCTGTTTGTACACTCGTTTAACCGATTGTAACAAATTTGGTATCGTTGAAAAGAGCATTCCTTGGGCAACAAGATAGTTAATTTGGTTGAATCCTTCTCCTCCAGGGGGCTAGTTTTGACACTATGATCCAAAATCCTAAAAAAATCAAAAAATCCTCGTGTGAGATCGAAGGGACTTCAGCGCATTTTTGTGTGGCAGATCAGTATTCTATTAGCCACTTTTGACTCAACCATCAATAAAAGATTTGTCGAAGGCTACTACATTCACTTTGTCGGTACCCGCTTCCCACTTTCCGCGTGCACCTGCAATTCGCGCCCACATTTGAAATTAGAACTTTAGTACCTTCCTGCCGGCTAGCGCCGACGTTTCTAAGCTCGGAGGCGAGATCGGCATTTTCCGCCTCCAAACTTTGTTTAGACTTTTCCAAGCCGGTTTTCGCCTTTTTCAAGTTGCTCCGTAATTGACGCCAACTCCTGGGAATGTTTATGGCGCATGTCGGCGATGCTCACTTCGTGTACTTGGGTTTCTTCTTCCAACATTTTTTTCAAAGTGGCCAATTCCTGTTCGCGCTTTGATCTCAGCTCCTGAAAAACACACAGGTAATTTAATGGCTATGCCTAACTACGGCTCACCTGTTGAGCAGCCGTGGTATCCAAAGAGTTCAAAAGCTCATTTTTAAGCGCCTCAAGTTCCTCGTTTAAGTCGCGCTTCAATTTTTCCGCCTTACTTCTTGCGGTTTGTTCGGCTTCCAAATCTTCTTGCAGTTCGGCAAGTTGATTCTCTAATTCCCGGAGAGCCTTCTGCGATTGAGCTTTATGCGCACCCTCCTCGTCGACGCGCACCATCGCCTGCGCCAGTTCTTCCTCGCGCTTGCCCAAGTGCAGCTGAAGCTCCTCCAATTGGGTTGGTTTCTCAATCAGCTGTTCCTTTAAATCCGTTAGTTCGGATTCCATCTTTCGTTTCGATGTGTCCGACTCCTTTCTCTGCTGGTGGTCTTTTAATAGCCGCTCCTCCAACTCTGCAATGGACGCTTCGTGTTTGGCCTTCAATTTGGTCAGATGCTTTGCCTTCTCCTCTTCTTCCGCTAACCAAATTTGTTAAAATCGGTCAAACGGTTAAGAAGTTAAAGCAGGTTATTGCAAAAACAATTGAACGCCCCACGCATCTTTGTTTTTGAAGTAACTGAGTTTTTGTTTTTACGAAAATGATAGATAAACTGGTTCTCTTGAAAAATGTGAAACAATGTTTAGTTTATTATCCGAAATTTAAAGAAAATGCAATTTTAAAATTTAAGATGGCAGTTACACCCTCTGTTGCTCATTTTTAGAACTTGAAAATATTTTCCAGTGATTCTTCATGACCGATTTACCCAATAATTTGTTTTATTCCTAAGTCATATGACGAACGGTTCCGACAATCCGCTCTCTTGAGATAAGAATTATAACCGATCACGATAAGAGGTCGAGGAGGAGCTATGGTTGGTCAAAATTAATTCCTTCCATTGAGACCTTTCATTAGAGTACCATGAAGGATACCCCCTCTCTCCCCCAAATGCTGGACTACCGTTTGCCTTCCGTAAAGTGAAGCTCATACTGATCCGCCCAGTGGCCAACGTGCCAGTGATCCTAAGAAAACTCCACGTCTCCGAAACTCCGCTTCACACCCCGAGCAACCGGCCACCCAGGGGCTTTCGGTGGATCGCCGATGAAAATCTCCCACTCTTCGAGAGGAGCCCTATTTTTTCATTGTAACTGTTTACATGGTAAGACCTTTTCATTACCCCTCACTGCGAAAGAACACGTTAGAATGCCCAAAGTCTGCGAACTGTATTTGACAGAAATTCTCGGCTGCAGTATCTCGAATATAGTATCCCCGTGTAAAAGCGATCTTAGGTTCTGCCATCGCCGTCGTTCGCATAGAAACAGCATTGTCATATGTTGTGAACGTCATTTTATGTCGTGCTTCGCGTCCCATTTGAAATAAGATTAAAATGCATAATCATCCGTTTCACTTTATTTATCCTTACGGTTAAAGAGCAGCTTAGCCTACTTATTCAAACCTATTAAAATAAACATTATTCTTTTGTTTTTGAATATATAAGCTTCAAATGGATTTTCTATCAGCTTTTGAAGCGAGTTTTAGCTGTTTATATTTCAACCGATTCAAGAAATTCAAATTTGTAGACGAATCGAAACCGGCACCTTTACCACTAATACGATTAAAAGTGATGTACCACAACGACGGTCAAATGTTCAATCCAATTCGTATAGGAATGCACTTTCTCAGTCGCGTAGCTAATCCAGACGACATGATTAAGCTAATATCCATGGCGGCTAAAGAAAAAAGGGTCAAGTCGAATTACGACTTGGACGACGAGGATTTGCGTCAGTTTGAAGATGTGAGTAGGTCCGTCTGCTAGAACTTTCGGTTCATTCTTGTATAGGTTAATGCCTGGGCGACCTGTGTCGAAGACATTATCGTGAAGTATCTAGATACGGATGAGCGAAAGAAGGGAATGTCGATTTTGTCAGTTAAGGGGCTTGTCGATTCGGTTTCTCGCTTTGTCAAGTACGAAGATGCGGAGGTACTGCCCGGTTTAGTCGAGTGAGTCCAAATTTGTGCTGTCTCGAAACTTAATGAATTTATTCTAGTAAACAGTTGAAGAAGACGATTGATCTAATTACAAAAATGGACCCTCCTCCGGAAGTAGATAAAATTCAAGAAGCGATAGAAGGACTGAGAGATCAAAGGTTGAGAGAGAGCGGAGAAATTGGCAACGAGGTATGTTTTGATGGAAAAATGAAAGGCTCAATTGTTTTTTTCAGAATCAAGATTATAACAACATTAACGATGTTATAAACAAAAAATCTGCGAGTAACAACAGCAAAGCAGAAGAAGACGATATTATGCAAATTTCTAGCGATGAGGAGCAACCGTCAACTAGTAAGGGTTCGGCTAAGAAAACCACGCCGGCTAGAGGGCGCGGTAGTCGTGGAGGTCGAGGGAGTCGCGGAGGTGCGGGTAGAGCCACAAGAGGAAAACGTGGCAAAAGTACTGATTATTCGACTATTGATAGTTTTTTTGATTAAGTTTTATTTATGTTCGAAATATATGGCGTACCATTTTCATTTTTACATCATTTGTTTTATTTCATTTTTTCGTGTTTCTGAAAGTAATCCTTGGTTTTCCTGAGGAGTAACTCTAGGTGCATTTCCGGGTGGCCGATAGGGAAATGAGCTGATGATGACCGTATGAGACCCCAGGCGAATGTAAAATAAACCCCTAAAGCTGATCTAAAAAGGCGGCAGAGCACCTCGGTGTGATCCTATGGGGTCATTGAATTTTCAATAGGCTTATTACATGTGGCGTATAGGTAAACTGCGCAAAGTTGGAACAGAATTGATCCAAGCGTTTGACAGTTATCGTGCTCACGGACAGACGAACTCCATCTGTCGCTTAATAATGATTGTGACTTATATCAAAGGAGTATACATATAATGACGCTTTGCTTATATGAAAGTACTAAATTAGACGTCGTGGACCAGTTTACTGGGGGTGGTATTCTATCAGGGGCGCCTTCACATGGTGACTAACATCAGAATAAAGCTCGTACCAGTAAAACGGCATTTGGCAGCACTGAAATATGGTGTCATTGATCAAACTAACCCAGGACAGGCTATCTAACAATATTATCCAGCTATGGCGCACCCAGGATGCCCCAGCTGGGGATGACTGAACGCAAGCCGTTTCCTAATAGTGATTACCAAGGCCCTGCACATCGGCCCCCTAGCAGGGGGTCGTGGTTTAATCGCCGGGAGTAAGAGCAAACAACCTTAACAAAAATCTAAATTTCCAAGGTTTACCGAAAAAGAAGCAGGGCACATTAAGACTTGGATCCTTAACCGAATAGATACACTTGAGGAGGGTTGCTCCCCGCTTCACAGGGTGCCGACACAAGGAAGGAGCCCTGCATATCGCAGATCTGCAGGAAGAGGCTATGCTATGGATGCTTGTAGTCAAGAACCTTCCTAAACCTACAAGAGCAATGGTAGGGATCCCAGAACCTTCAGAGATAGCACTCGGTCGCGTGAGTACCTACCTAAACAATATCCACTAAAAGAGTGGACAACCGTGGACAGGACGAAGGATACCAAAGACAACTTTTAGTTGTGATGTCCTCCTACATTTCTGCAATACACCTTACATGTGGGAAAATAAATACGAAACGCTTTGTATACAGTGTGATATTGATTTTGGGTGTCCAAGCGTATATTTCTTTTATTACTAATAGGGATATGAAAGACTACTCTACTTTCAATTTCTGATAAAGCTACATCGAGCTACATATTCAAAAAAACAAGTGCTATAAGTACAAACCGAGGTACAAACAAAAGTGCATCAGAAAACAAATTATTTTTTTAAAAAGAACTTACTTTTTTCTGTAATATTCTTAAAGAGCTTGAAAATCTCTTAACAATTAATTAAAAAATTAAAGATGCAGTAATGTTTTTAAGACCAATCGCAATAGGTAACTGGAAATTTTAAACAAAAACAAAAGAGAGTTTTTCATTTGTCATGTCTATCACAAAATAAGTTTAGTGAACAATATAACTTACAAGAACCACAATGCAACAAAATAATAATTACACAAATGACGAAAAAAATGTTAAGAGGTGTAATTGAGAGAAGAATTGAAATATCGAATAATATACAGAGTGTGCCATTAAACAGAATACAATATTGCCACGCCTTTATGACTAACCCTGTATAATCAAAATTACTACTCCTTAGTAGACATTAAAGAACCTCAAATCTTTTATATAAAACCTTGTATATTTTCCCCGATACTTAATCGACCGTTTCGAGATTTATCATTTATCAGCGACCCTGTATATGTAGGTAGGTAGGTATACAATAAGTATTGTAAAGTATTGAGAAGGGAGCATTTAGTGCATACTTACAATGTTGCATTGTGTATTAATATGTGCTGTGTGGGATACAATGAACAAATGATTTTCTATTGCTGAATTTTTCACCCTCCATTGTATTGTAGGTATAGGTAGTTTTTGAGTTTTCTTTTCTACAGGAATTGCACAATATATTTTTAGTAATTTGTAAAAAAATGGTGATAACGTTTATATTGAGAGGTTCCACCCTGTATATACAACTTACGACGATACATACATTTTTGAGAGTTGGCAACCATGCAATTTCTAGGTGGGAAAACGTAGGAAAAAGCTGCCTGCGCCCAAGGATTATAAACATATAATATAATCCTTGGCTCGGCCTGCGCCATCTAAAGCACGAAAGGGGGTTACGTTTGGCATCTTGTCTTGAATGGCGGTCGTGAACGCGTCGCTCCATAAATTGAGATGTCTGCTTTCAAATTTCAAACAAGAAGTTCCGTTACCGTATATTGAGACACCGTTTAAGCTACCGTTGCCAGATACCGAGCCACAATTCAATAGCGTTCCCATGAAAAAACAATAGGTTTATTATTCAACAATGTATTCAGTCTTCAATGTCAGCAATTATAACAATGGTAGTCTGTATAGGGAGGAAATGGTGGATAGATTTAGTTTTTGCCGAGTTAGCTTTTCGAGTTCCCACAGGTTCATTTTTGTCTTTGAGTTCACTTTGCTTTGGGTAGTTAGTTAGTGTGGAGCTCATTGTAACAGAAAGGTAATGTACTTAGTTGTAATTGATTTATATTGTAGATTATGTTGCCTTCAGCTAGTTGTAATGCAGGGTAAAGTGATTCTTGAATTTGGTGTAATTTGCTTTCATGTAAAAGTGGTTCCTGTTTGATTTGTTGAAGATTGGCCAGTTATCAATTTTCATGTGTTTGTTTTGAACCCATTTAGATTGATTAGCGACTTCAATTCTTTGTGTACGAATCAGCCTTTTTTGAGTGTAATTAACCGTTTCGCCCTTGCAGAGGTACATGCCGGAGTGATAAAGATACTTAGCGGCATGTATTTCGAACGACAACTTTAGTCTAAGGTTACCGTATCCAGGATCTTAGATACCTGCTAGATTGGAGGAGGTCTGGCTAATTAATGATGTTTATTTTATGCACTTTATGTAAGAGACTTCGGAATGTATCTTTCACACATGAGAAAGGATTGAAGGTGCTTTTTAAATCTACTTGTGATGGCCATCCTTTAACTTATCAAGTTTGTATTGTACTAACGTCAGATTTCAATCTGTCCAATTCAAGAGTTACTTACTCGGATTATTATTCTTTGTATAACTATTGTAGCTGTGTTGTAAAATGTGTTTAGCGTTATCCAATGTTACCTCTCATTCTCCAGATTTTCCCTCTAGATTTCACCTCTGTGAACAGTGAGTCGGAATTTTCTTTAGCACGGTTCTTTTGTCCGACGAGTTCTAGGGGAACCTGGCACTTTTTGGCTTTAAATGTATTCTGTCTAAATTTGTAGGATGTCTTTCGGCCTTTTGATTCATTTTTACACTTTTGATCAGTTCTTTAATAAACTTTATTTGTGTTTCAATTTCAATTAAGTGTATTATTTGCGTTCCGTCTTTCCGATAATTAGCATGGGTACGAGTGAGTGCGAACTGGCTTTCCACAACGTAGGGGTTCCGGACATTGTCGAGTGCGAGGTTTGTGTTACTACGCAGGTGTTCCGAGTTCGTGTTTTTCCCGCTTTCGTTAGCGCGGGAGCTGTCGACTTGGGTACATCACAAAATGTTTTGGTGTTTTGTATGCTGCATTTTATACTTTTTGTGTGTTTCAATCTTTGTTTTTGAAATTTACTTGTTTTAACCGCAATGCAGAATGAAATGTTTAATACCGTTATGCTATTGTTTGTAATTGTTTACGTTTTTAGTGTAATGCTTGCTTAATTTATGTTTATTGATGTTGATTACTTGGTCTTGTCCGTGAAGTACCTAACATTCATATAGGTAAGTTTTAATCATTTTATTTTAGTATATGGAAATTACCATATATATAAGAGAAATTACCGATTTGTTTGATGTATGTACTGACTTGTTGTTTGTTACTAACATTTTCCTCCGTGAATGAAGCAGTCACGGGAGTCTCGGCTCGAAACCCCCGACGAGGGGCGATGCTTGGGGGTGAGATTATGCTAATCAAAACTCTTCAGTTTAGAATCTATGTGCGATAAATGAGTTACGATTCGTAATTTCCACATATCTTGTTTTTAGTTAATTATAAATTTAGTTAATTTGCCTACAAGGCCATGTAATTTTCCATCTTGCTTTTAACAAGAGGATTTTATTGCACCATCCTTTACTCTTAACCCTTTCTCAGAATTTAGGTACCTGCTCCTACCTGACCCATTCCCAAAAACTTGCTTTTAACCTTGAGTGAGTTTAACCAAGATTGTGTATATGCATTTACTATCTTTGTTAACTACTGCTTAAACTTTTACAAAATATTTTGTTAATTAACTTTTGGGCTGCGAAGTTTTTCTTACGTCGTACTCTTTTTACCCTTAGCTGTTACTTTTGCGAGAGTACGACACCTTTTGGCTTTGCTTGCTTCGTTTATATTTATGTACATCAACTAAATTTCCGGGCTTTCACAATCTTAATAATTACGACCATTATTAAACAAACTTTTCATGTTAACAAAGCTTGATGAAAACTACCCGTTTTCTTTTGGGTTTTATATTTCTTTTTACGATACAATTAAATAATTGACATAACTACTCAAAATTGCGTATTTCCCCTCTTTTGTTTTTACAACCCTGATATATGTCCAATTTACAACATTCTCCCACCTGTGACGTCATGACATCAATGAGCGTCGCACACAAACTGAGTTCAATCTGACAAATATACGTAGTACTATAACTACAATTACGCATGCTAACTAAAACTGAACAAAACTACAATCTAAAGAAAATTGTACATTCATTGTCTGTACTTCGCCGGCTTCCGCACTTGTCGACCGCACTTGGTACGTAACTCGGGTACTCTGCTTTGAGCACTTTTAGTGCTCGTCACTCCCGCACTGTCACTTTCGTCGCTCACTTCTTCGCTGTCTTTTTGATGAGAAGTATCAACTTGCAGTTCTCCCTCAGGCTGATCGACGTTGTCCTCCCCTTGCGGTTTGATGCTTACACTATCCACTTCCAGTGGGTACAACCGCTGGACGGGCCTCAACAACTGCCCGTTCGCAGTATCGATTCTCACTACCCGCACAATTCCGTCTTTGCCGGGGATTAGTTCCACTACTCGGCCTAAAGGCCAGTTTACGCGTTTTGTTTTGTCGCTACCGACACAGGGCCGCCGTGAAGGGGGGTAGCGGGGCATTTGGCCCGAGGCCGGTCATATTCTGGGGGGGGGGTCAGCCGGGGCATTTGCCCCGGGGCCCGGTCATATTCCGGGGGCCCGGCCAAAAGAGATTTTGAAACATGATTTTTCATTGTATTTTTTAACAGAAATCTGCATATGCATATCTCTATATGAGAGAGTAGAATATAAAAAAAATGCACAGCAGATTTAAAAAACCATACCATATTGAGCAAAATTTCCTAATTACGGCACAGTGGCAGAAGGCTCGCTAGGTAAAAAACCGTTTGAGATCGACTATGGGTCAAGATCGTTAGATCAATCTCGATACATTAGCTCTTGAAGCTCAACTTGCTAGAGAAATTAATTTTGAGCGAGTGATATTCACTTTTGCTAATAAGAAAATCCGCAGAGTTACATTGTAATTTGGTTATTTGAATACTTTTCAAAATAAATTATGAAAATTACTGTGTCTGTATGAAAATTATTCAAATGTTCTCCTTTCAAATCTAAGTAGTCAAGATTGAAAATGTCTAGTTTAAGATGAGGGTGATGGACAACAAAAATTTCAATTATAGGGGCCCGGTTAAAAAATATTCCCGGGGCCCGTCGAGGCTAACGGCGGCCCTGTACCGACCAACACTACTTCGCCAATTTTAATAGCCCGGCCGTGAGTCGTTTTTCAAGGCGATTTTTAATTGTTCCTTAGATACTCTGATCTAAATCGCCATTGCCGTAAGTCATCCCGCCACCTTTTGCGCATGACGATTTTCCGATCCAACGACTTTTCGATCGAACACTGTCACAATCAGTTACTCCACTTTGCGCAGATTGTCTCCTAAAAACATCGCCGGAGTCAAGGGAGTAGGGCCGAGTCAAGGAGTAGGGTCTGAGGGATTATTATACGAATAGGTTATAGGCCGTCGTTAATTACAGCCTCCTATCACATAAACCACGTGTTCATTTCTCATAATCGAGACATGCACACCAAAACCTTGGCTCAACAAAACGCTTTTAATAACCCAACCATCTCTCCCAAAAACCACCCCACCATGGTGCACTCGGGGGTTAAACTTCCAAGTAATTCGTTGTGCATTTCGCGTACCGATCAATCTTTTCCCATTCTACCGACGCTAGGCTGCTTTCGGCGCCTACGAAGTTGGTGCCGTTGTCACTATAAACAGTCTTTGGCCTTCCACGTCGCGCGATGAACCGTCGGAACGCTTGTATAAAACTCGCGGTCGATAACGACGAAACCAGTTCTAGATGGACAGCCCTGTACACCGCGCAGGTAAACAAACAAACCCACGCTTTTTCACCGCCCCTCAAGAATAACGGCCCAGCCAAATCAACTCCAGTAATCTCAAAAGTTTCTGCGTCACGAACTCGGTCGATCGGCAACGCCGGAGATTTCACTACAAAGGGTTTCGCGTCCTGCCGTTTGCACACAACGCAAGACGATATTACCGCGCGCACTCTTCTCCTGCCTCCCAAAATCCAGTATTTCTCCCTAAGGATACTCAACAGGTTTTGTGCTCCCGCATGACAAGATTTTACATGTTGGAGCGTTATCAGACGTTGAACAAAAACATGCTTTCCTGACAGCAAAATGGGAAATCTAAAATTTTCAGCGTCTGGTCTATTCGAGACTTGAGTTCTAACACGTAGCAAACCGAATTCGTCACATATTACGGTTAAACCATTTAAAGCGTCATTTCTATCTCCAAACGATTCCATCTGGCTTATTTTCAAAATGAGGTTTTCGGCCGTCTGTAGTTCCTCCACCGAAAGAGCTTCCATCCTTACCGTCAATGTTAATGGTTCTTTGATTTTAGCGACTTGTCGATCTGCCGCCTTTTCCTTCAATTTTTTCCTAACATTATTTTTGAAACGCAGCATCCCCCCAACTTGACGTACTATTCTCTCGAAATCCTCAAATAACGTAAAATCTGAACTAGCTAAGTTCTCAGTAACCATCAAGCTCGATACTGTTGATTTCGTCCTCTCTGCAGTGATTTCATTCTCGTCATATGCGACTGGTTCCGAAGGCCATTCCGCCGGCTCATCCCTCAGCCATGATGGCCCCTCCCACCAACGTTTTTCGCACAATTGTTGCGGTGTGCATCCTCGGGAAGGCAGATCAGCCGGATTTAAGTGCCCTGGCACATGTCTCCATGAATCGATCGCCGAATTCTGACGAATTTCATTGACCCTATTTCTCACAAAAACCGTCCATTCTTCTTTTCGTCGTATCCACGAAAGAACGGTAGTGGAGTCGGTCCAATAAAAACACTTTCCGTCGCCTTTTAGGTCTTTTTTAACTGTGTCACACAAACGAACACCGATCGTAGCGCCCAAGAGTTCCAGTCTAGGAATGGTAGTTGGCTTGATAGGCGTGACTCTCGATTTTGTCGCTAGGAGATGTATTTTTACCTCTCCTTCTTGCTCTATGCGCAGAAATATCACTGCGGCATAGGCCTTTTTACTCGCGTCTGTAAATACATGTAGACTCCATGGTTGCGATGTATTCGACTCGAACCCAATCCACCGTGGTATCTCAATTCTCTCCAAGTATTTTAATTCTTCCGCCCATTCCATAAACGCTTTTCTCGTCACCTCGTCGACTTCCTCATCCCATTGCAGTTGTTTTTCCCATAATTGTTGTAACAGGATTTTTGGTCTTAGAGTGACGGGACTGGTAAACCCTATAGGATCGTAGAGTTTCTGAGCGATGGATAACATGAGTCTTTTCGTCACGCGGAACTTTTCCGATTGGATCAATTCTTTGATTGAAAAGCCGTTGACTGTCAATACGTCTTTCTCTCGATGCCATTTCAAACCCAACACAGAAACGCTGTGAGTAGGAGGTTCGTCCAAACTCGTGTGCTCCCACCCTCGAAGATCAAACTTCGCTTCCGCCATTACTTCGGTGGCCTCTTTTATGAACTTATCGAGAGTCACCATGTCCTTTACGCTGGTCACGCAATTATCCACATAGAAACTCTGATTTAACCGCGTGATCGTGTCTTTTGAATAAGCGGGATTCGGTGTGTCGCATTTTTCGAGACATTTTTCTAGGTGATGTTCGATTGTAGCTGCTAACAAAAACGGACTGCTACTTACACCGAAAACTACTCTTCTATGTCGATAAACCTTTTCATTGCCCTGTTTATCAACCCATAAAAATTTTAGAAATTCTCTGTCCGGTTCGTGAACTCCAATTTGTAAGAACGCCTTTCGGATATCAGAAATCACTCCGATTTTAAGTTCACGAAATCGCAGAATTATCGATGGGATCAATTCTATCAAATTGACACCCTTGCTTAAGCAATTATTTAACGACGGTGAAATTTTCGAACACGCTGATGCGTCGAACACCGGACGAATTTTTGTTGTCGAATTTTCCTTCACGACAGGCCTGTGTGGCAGATAGTGCCCTCGTTGATGATCCACCTCCCCAACAACTGTCTCGATTACTCCTACCGATTGCCATTCACAAAAAACCTGGTCGTAGGCTTGGTGTAGTTGGGTGTTTTCCAAATTTCTTAATGTCAAACTCAATCGCCTTTTTGCAATCTCGTAATTGCTGGATAAAGGAGAGTGATCCGCTACCCACGGAAGTCGCACTTCATAACGCCCTTCTCCGTCAACTTGTAGAGTTTTCTCGAAGCACTCCTTTACTTCTCGAAACTCCTCCTCGCTTCGTTTTTTCTCGACAGGATCTCGTATCCCAAGTACGTCGAGTTCCCACAGCGAAGTCACTGTTTTGTCAGAAACTAGACAAGATATTTCCATGTTTGATTTAAATCGCTGGCTGTCTATTTTTCTCATGAGCGTCCATCCGAATACAGTTTCAACCGCTACCATTCCACATTCTAAAACTTCCCTCTTTCCTGTGTAAATATGACCTGCCACGTCTGCGCCTAGAAGTATTTCTATCGGCGAGGAATCTTTTACATCAGACAAAGAAATCCCAATACGTTTCAACTCCTTAATCCACGGTCCATAAAATACCGGCGGAATAGGATGACAAATAGTCGGTTGATCCAATACCTCTACTGTACGGGAGTAATCTCCCTTTACCAACGTAACGTCGTAACAAGAATGATTACGTTCTACTGTTGTTCCACCAAACAACCCATGCGCTATCGTCGCGCGTCTTTTTACTTCAAGACCTAACGCGTCGCTGGTGCTTTTTAGTATATAGGATCTTTGAGATCCGTTGTCGATTAGTACTCGCACGTCACGTTCGCCACCGTTATGTCGAATATTGACTCTAAAAGTTTGCAGAAAAACGTGGCTTGACGTGAAATTCGCGAGATCCTCAGATTTGGCTTTCTCAGGTAGATTAGCCGCTTTCGATTTGTCATGCGCATTATTTGCTTCTGGTTTCGATCCTACTTGCGGATCCGTTAATGTAGAACACATTAAGGGTAAGTGCTCCTTTTTACAAATAATGCATTTTACGGTGGCGCGGCATCTCTTGACGCTATGACCACCTCGCAGGCATCGAAAACATGCCCCTTTCTTTTTTACTATATCTTTGCGCTGTTCTAGCGAAAAATTTTGATCTTTAACACACATTGTACTTTCGTGATTTTTATCGCAAAAAACACAGCTCAAACCATCTTGGACTACTAACCCCGCGGCTGTCGCTATCGGTTCAGCGTTTTGCGATATTACCTTTTTCTTAAACGTAGGACTTAATCTACAGTACGAGTCATTCCCGGATTGTTTACGTACGCTAGCTTTCCCTCCCGAAGAGATACCAAAACCCTCAGCAGCGAGTGCAATGCGCTCCTCGCCCTCTACTTCTCTTTTTAGGAAGGCCATTAAATTGGCTAAACGCCTAGCAGGTTTTATCTCTTCACGCTGAATTGCATCTGATAAATTTGCTATAGACGCGTTCGCGGCCCTTTTGCCACACTCTAAGAAGTTCCTCTGGCAAGCACGACTCAATAAGTGGGAATAACATTGCTGCGCACTTCTCGGTGGTTACGCCTAGCGTCTCCAGCGCTCTCAACTGAGTTTCCAATTTATCGTAGAGAGATACTAAGTCAATTTCTCGCGTCGAAGTCGCGTTCTGAATAATCAACTTCAACAATTCGCGTACATAAACTTCGATTAACAAGTCCTCTCGACCGTACCGCGATTTTAACGAGTCTATAATTTTTGAATAGTTACCGGCCATCACAGGGTAGCTTTCTACGACCTGCCGTGCACGGCTGCCAGCAACTGTGGCTTGTATTAAGTAACTAATTTTATCGATTTCATCGAGTTCTGTATGATGATGAATTTTCACAAATTGTGCCCAAAACGCGAGCCATTCACGCACGTTCCCATCAAATTTTTTAAAATCTTTCGGTAATAAATCTCCTACCTTGTATGTTGTAAAGATTTACCCCATTGTTACCGATGCCACTGGAAGGAACGGCTGCTGTCGATGGCTTGGAGGTTAGGTCGCTCACCTGCTGCTGTAACTCAAGGAACTGTTCCATGAATTCTGCGCAAGTAGCTTGTTCGGCTCCCAGGACGTCTCTGTCGGCCGCCTCACCCATCAACAGCGTTGTTATTTCATCGTCGGCTTTTTGTAAAGTTGAATGCTTAAGCCGCAGCATTTCAACCGCCACCTTCAACGCAACACTATCTATAGGAGTTTTCGTTAATAACCCCCGTAGCTTGTCGGTGGCCCGCATAAAGCTATCACGACATACGTCGCGGTATCGCCTTTGTTGCTCCATTTTTTGCGGAAATCGAACGCACCACTAAAATGTCAATTTAACACAAATATCGTAGCCAAAACACTCAAACCCGGTGTCCTGTCACGGTCGCCATAAAATGTTAACAAAGCTTGATGAAAACTACCCGTTTTCTTTTGGGTTTTATATTTCTTTTCACGATACAAATTAAATTGACATAACTACTAAAAAATGCGTATTTCTACTCTCTTTTGTTTTTACAACCCTGATATATCCAATTTACAACATTTCACAATTTGGGTGTTTTATTTTACGTTCCTTCCCTACTGTGCTTCAGATCATAGCGTTGTTTACAACTAACATAAGGCGGCCCTGCCTTAGATGTTTCATCACGTGCCACTTTTCACATTTAAGCGGGATGTTGAGTTTTGCAGGAAATAGTCATTCGGGTGACATTTTTAACCGTTGCCGGGTTGACTTTATTCCCCTGTTCTTGTAGTGTGAAGTTAGCGTAGAACACGGGGGTAAAGTACCATATATATAAGAGAAGTATATATGTAAAGTACACTACAATATTATATTTATAATATGATATAAATATAATAAATATATAATATAATATATTTATAATATAAACGTTATCACCATTTTTTACTAATTATTAAAACTACCTACACCGGTAACGTTCAAATGGAGTCATTGATCATAAATTGCACAACATACTTTGTGTTGAGTAGGTATAGGTATCATCTGGCAAAATAAATAGCTTCGGTAGTGTTTCCGGGCACCCAAAAGGAATGCCAAATGACTAACTTACGGAAAAGATAAAACCATTAGATTAAACATCACTTAATTTCCACATGTTTACATGCCTAATTAAATTAAGGATAGACGATCTGTCGAAATAATTGCGACTATCTACATTCCGCAGTCTACGGCCTGCCAATTCCGAATACATTTTCGTAGGTACCTTAATTTTCATCTCTATTTTAAATCTTGTCTCGTTCCCTTTGTGTCTCCGTTAAGTCAAAGCTTTTGCCAGCTTATTTATAGCGTTTTCGATTGGCAAAACTCGTGCTGCACGAGTGCAATTTTTACGTTCTATTGGTAATTTTAGGGCAATTTTCTGTGTTCCATTGGCAAATGTGATGCAACAATTACGCACTAAATGCAAATTTTGACGCACGAGGTCTGAGAGCTCGTGGAGCAAATTTTCAAAATAAAAGTGCGCCAATTTGAATTTGTTTCTTGCGTTGGAGAGTTTTTTGTTGTCATCTAGCGATAGCGAAGATGATGAACTAGCCATATAACTTCTACTTTACAAAAAGTTGCATTTACTCTGTAAACTGAACGCCAAAAATTGGTTCTTTACAGGAATTTCAAATTTATATTCCTCATTGTTTATCATAAATAATAGTGAAATCGTTTCAGTCATTTTTTAGAATACAAATTTGTCGATTACCTAAATCATTCTATAAATACAAATCTAAAATGAGGTTATGGACAAATGATAACAAATATTTATGTTCCATTGAGAGCAATGTTCACATGGATTTCTTCAGTTTCTTGTGCAACACTCGTGCAGTACGAGTTTTGCCAATCGAAAACGCTATCTAAAATAAGGTTATGGACAAATGACAACAATAATATTTACGAATATTTATGTTCCATTGAGAGCAATTTTCACATGGATTTCTTCAGTTTCTCGTGCAACACTCGTGCAGTACGAGTTTTGCCAATCGAAAACGCTATTAGAAAATTTGGCAGTTAGAGATTAATTTGCTGTTTGAATCATAACCGCGAGCGCAGTTATAATCGGCTGTACTGAATTTATAAATATACCCCTCTACTGAAAATCCATAACATCTGTACCTTCGTCATCTACTAAACTTATTAAGTACCTACCTGTCAGTTATATATGCTTCACACTTCATTTACTCCTTGTAGTTGTTTTTCTTTGCAATATTTATATATAGAAGGTATATAGTTTTAATACTCCCATTCTATTTTAACATGTGCTTATTTATTTTTTACCTCTACCTACTTCAAAATGTAAGGTACAACATAAACTTGGATCTCCATCAATAAAAAAAGGTAAAGTATAATAAGTGACAGCTAATCTGGCTCATCAAGGACCTAATTAAACCAAAAGTAGTCTCCCAATGATTTTTTGTAAACTTTCTACTCGCTTTGTGTGTTTCCGCTTTCGACAATCCGTTTTCGAAATACAGTATATGTTCCAGATAAGAGGGTCATCTCAATATGTCTTATTTGGTGAGAGTGGAAAAAATGGTCAAATATAATTTTTTATGCGGCATCACGATCTATTCAGTGGAATATTGACATTTCCGGTATCACCTTCAGTTTAACCAAAGAGTACCCATACTTACTCTTTGGTTTAACTAGAATTGAAGGTAACTTTTGTTTTTCAAATGTAATGCCTATATTTTTTGAAGATGCTTGAAAAGAGCAATCAATTTGCTGTACAACGTAAATGTGCATATGGTTAATATATAGTAGATATACAAAAAATGAAGAAATTCGTGATTCATTATAATTAGAAAACTTATGAAATTTAGCATGTCGTGTGCTGTCAGGATGCGCGGTGCCTGTTGTGTTACAAAAAAACGACCTCATCAACTTGTTGAATGTTGATGTGATGATGATTTGGAATGTGCTTGTGCAGAAACGGAAACTTATTTGACATTCTTCTGTCCTCCATCCTACGTGTTCAAATTAATTTAAAAAAAACGCAGCTTTCTTCGAGGCCCGAGTGCCATTTCAAATCTTTGTAATGGGTAGACAAATCTGAAACTTTTTTTTCGTTGATGTCGCACTTTGCTATATCGCGTACCGATCAATACATGCCCCAAGTCACTTGCGTCGTGCCATGCCGATGTGTTTCCACTTGTACTTCTTAAACGAATGCGGCTTGCATTTTTTTAAACTTCACGGGGTTGCAAAAATGAAGCAGTCCGTCGGAAGACAAAAATGTCGTTGAAAATGAGTAAGAATATTTTGGAAATTGTTCATAGTGATATCTGTGGGCCAATAACACCCACGTCATATGATGGGAATAGGTATTTTATCACGTTCATTGACGATTTTTCCAATTTCACTGCAGTGTATTTGTTAAAACAGAAAAGTGAGGCCTTTGAAAAGTTTAAGGAATTTTATTTCATGACAAAAGCAATGTTTAAAACAACCATGTCTAAATTAAGATGTGATAATGGAGGAGAGTATGTATCGAGGAATTTCAAAAATTTTTGTAGGGAAAATGGAGTTGTGTTAGATTATACTATACCTTACACACCACAACAGAATGGCAAGGCCGAGAGGAAAAATAGAACACTAGTTGAGAGGGCCAGAGCAATAATCGATGAATCGGGAGTATCAAAAGAATTTTGGAGTGAAGCTATTTTGTATTCAAATTATGTTATTAATCGAGGGCCAACTGATGTTTTGGATAATATTACTCCATCAGAAATTTGGTACGGTGAAAGACCAGACGTAGGTAATTTAAGAATATTTGGGAGTACGGTATATAACCATGTCAGGAAAGAAGTACGAGATAAATTTGATTCAAAGGTTGAAAAATGTATAATGTTAGGCTACGTAACGAACGGATATAGATTATGGAATGTAGAAAAAGGAAAGGTTGTTCTCTCAAGGGATACTAAATTTGATGAAGACACTTTTTATTATAAGGGAAATAAACCGACGGTGGAAATTAGGGAAATATGTAATGATAATAATGAATTAGGGGAAAATGATAATGAATATGAATTTGAAAATGATGATATAATTGAAAATGGGGAAAGAGATTTGAGAGAGGGCAAAAGGCAAACAAAACTACCATCTCGGTATAACGAATATGAAATGTACATGGCATATAATGCTTTAGCTTTTGTAAATAATGTACCGCAAAATTTTAATGATCTACAAAATAGGCCAGATAAAGAATTATGGGAAAAGGCTATGAAAAGAGAATTACACTCAATACATAAAAATTCTACATGGGAAGTGGTTAACAAACCTAGCAATTCACAAATATTAAACACAAAATGGGTATACAGTTTAAAAGATGGTGAAGGAAATAATGAAGGAAAATATAAAGCCAGGTTAGTTGTAAAAGGGTTTGCGCAAAAAGAAACATTTAATTATGAAGACGTATATTCTCCTGTAGCTAGAATGACAACAATTAGAGTGCTATTAAGTGTCGGAAATCAGCTTGGATATTACTTTAGACAGTTAGACGTTAAAACAGCTTTTCTTAATGCAAAATTAGACCACCCAGTTTACATTTATCCACCTGAAGGGTCAAATCTTAATAATGGAAAGGTGCTCAAGTTAAATAAATCTTTATATGGGTTACGACAATCTGCGAAATGTTGGAATGATAAAATAAACGATTACATAATTAAAATAGGTTTTAAGAGATCTGAAAATGACTATTGTTTTTACATTATGGATTTAAAATTTGGAAAATTATTTTTATTGTTATATGTTGATGACATTTTAATTGCGGGACCAAGTGTACAAGAGATTAATGGTGTTGTAAACAAGTTGGGGGAAGAATTTGAAATGACAGATAGGGGAAATCTAAATCATTTTTTAGGGATTGATATAACATATAATTTTGAATTAGGTGTGTTGAAATTGAATCAGGCCAAGTATGTAGAGAAAATTTTAAACAAGTTTAACATGAGAGATTGTAAGGGTTCTGATGTACCAATTGAACCAAAATTAAAATTAGATATTTCCAAAAATGACACATTAACAAATAAACCTTTTAGAGAATTAATTGGTTGCTTGATGTATTTATCGTTGGCTACACGTCCAGATATTAGTTTTGCAGTGAATTATTTAAGCAAGTACCAAGATAGAGCAACAGACGAAATGTGGACATATTTAAAGAAAATTTTAAGGTATTTAAAGAAAAATAAGCATATTGAAATAGAATTTGTGAGAGAAACAAATATAAGTTTAAATTGCTTTGTCGATGCCGATTGGGGAAACGACATAAACGATCGTAAATCAGTAACCGGGTTTTTATTCAAACTAGGTGGGAATTTGATTCATTGGGCAACTAAGAAGCAGAATTGTATAACACTTTCTACTTCTGAAGCAGAATTAGTTGCATTGTGTAGTGCAGTTTGTGAGGGAATATGGTTAAATAAATTATTACTAGATTTTGATTACAATATACGGTTGACTACTTACTATGAAGATAATCAGGGATGTATATTTTTAATTAGAAACCCAAGTAATAATCGTAGAGTTAAGCATATAGATATTAAGTATAAATTTGTATGTGAACTTTTGAAAAAGCAGCAAATTGAAGTTGTGTATATTGAGTCATCTAAACAAGAGGCAGATATTCTCACGAAAGGATTGCCACAAGCTACTTTTTCAAAATTAAAGCATTGTTTAGGACTTCGTGATAACTTTAGCGAGGTGGGGTGTTAAGATATACGCTAAAGTGTGAACATAGCCGCGCATTGCGTGGGATGGGCGAATGCGACCACAATGAATGTAGAATATATAGTTCAATGGTTTTGTATTAATAAGTTAAGAATGGTGAAGATGTTACGAGATATTTTAGTATAAATAAATACATAAAAAGCATCGTATTATTTAGAAGATAAGAACTGGTCACACGGCCCTCACCCACGGCTATCTGTTGAGGAGAGAAGAGCGGCCAATTTGTCAAACTTGCAATGTCCCAATCTCGATTGAACATATTTTAACATCATGTAACGTCTATAAGGACTATCGTGAAAGATCAGGGATACAAGGTACTCTAAAGGATATCCTACAGGACTGTGAAGAAAAGGTGTATAATTTAGTAAACTTCCTAAAAATGTCAAACCTCCATAGAGTAATTTAATTAACCCTCTGTAACTCCATTTATGTAGCACTATGTAAAATGTAAAATAATACCAATTTAAAGGCGTAATGACCAAAGCAGTTAAACACGCCCAATAAATTAAAAAAAAAAAAAAAAAAAAAGTTACAAATTAGGTATGTTGCAATCTTTTGATTTTGCTTACGTAATGTTAGCATCAAGTAGGTGGATCTATTATTTATTAGGGGAAGGTTGAGACAACTTTGGGCATTTTCTATACGTAGTTACATGGATTCGTCTATGCGTAGTTAAATAGTTAACAACTTCCAAGCATTTAATTATGATTTTTGTGATCGGCTTGTGCGATGGGACAGGGGGTTTCTTTGTTTTATGTGGGGGCATAAAGTATTTTTGTGAATGTGTTCTTGTATTGCATTAATATTTTATTAATTACTAATTGATGGTTGCCGCTAATGCGATTTTAGAACTCACAGGGCATGCGAATAAGAATTATTCCCTCTCATTCGGTAGAAAGCGATTTTGTAATTTTCGTAAGTATATAAATGGCTTTCTCAGACGTGACCCTTTGTTCGAAACTGTTGGCTAGCCGAAAGAAAGACTCTCAAGGTTTCGCATCTTCTTGATCGTCTCGAGATAATGCTTTGCATCTGGCTGTCCTGGAACTGCCTTCGCTTGACCTGGAAGTAAAGTCAGATTGAATGTTATCCCCCGTTAGTGAATGCATTCATTTCCATGAATGATGGTGGTGCAGTATCTTCAGTATCCCGATTATGAGGAAAATAAGATTCCGCGATGTTATCATACAGTTTGAAGACTATTTTAATGTAATTGTAAAATCCAAATTGGAAAAGAAGTAAGAAAGTAAGTGAGTCTATTTCCTGAAATGGTTTCAGTAGCTGTTTTTTCCTTCTTTGTGATGAGAGTCCCTAGAGCTACTCTCGTGTGATTATGAAGGAGCAATCCTGATTTGAATGTAGATTTGATTGTTTTTGTTATTAGGGAGTTGTGCGCGGGTGCACCATCTTGTTGAAACCAACAGTTTCCAACTTTTGTTTTTTTTGTGTGCCATACATCGTTGCATTCTTAATAAAAAATGTTACTCAATACAGTATGTACTTTTTTTGCGGGTCATATAAAAAAATTAAGTTGATGGCGATTTCTGCGAAACGAAACGGTGTATTTATTGAAAATCTCTCAACGCTGTCTTTTGTAGAGCTCAAATAGTGTTTTTTTTATTTTCTTGTATCTGTTCAAATAACATTAGAAAAACATAAAAACAAAATCGCCAAATTTGGGTTTTTCGGGCATATTTTCGGAAGTAATCGGAATATTCTGGTTTTCTTTACAATTACAGTAACTTTTCCTTAATTTGACCATCTTCGTATGTTCTATGGTTTCCGAGATCCCCATAATAGACATCCTTACCTTGAACACAGTGTATCAGTATAGTGCCTTTGCGCCTCACTAAGTAGTACCAAAGAGTAGTACCCTTAGAGTAGAAAGAATTTCTTACTGATGAGGTACCTGCCTTTTTATTTCTTATTCATTAGGCTATTAATGTTGTTTTAATTAATTTTCCCACACCCCAAGAATAGCCGCTTTCAAAACGCGCCAGTATCCATTAAAGTAAATGAAAATAATGGACCGTTGCGTTGGGGGGATTCGTAGGTTTCACTGAAATAGTAAATTATTAATGTAACGCAATGGGCGCGTCATGGCGGATACGACCGGAAACGTAAATTATTTTGGAGTATTCCATGCATAAGAAACGATTATTTCCAGTGCGTCGCGTTCTAGTTAAAAAAAAAGTCTCGAAGCCGATGTGACTTGCGTATGCATGAAAAACATTACATTGGGTTAATTCCATGATGTTAACTTTGCCACAAGCCAATTTTGGAATGTCGTATATCATCAATTTTACCGTTTCATCTACCTACTGTTGGCGTCAACATAGAAATTGGTCATTTGTCATTAGTAAATACATAGGTACCTGCTTGTCAGCGTGTTTGTCGAGCAAGATATCGCATACCAGAAATAATTAGGTATAATGCGCAAAGAATCGGCACAGAAATATGCAAAAAGTTGCATGTTGCCTAAAAATATACTCGCACGACGTCTCAACAATTATGTCAATATCTCAAGCAACGGATGCAGGAAAAAAAGTGATTACCTACTATCCTGAATAATGTAGCCGATTCGAGATTTGTTGTATTTTTAGGTGTCGGGAAGGGGACGTATATATAAAACTGAACTTCTTTGCTAATTTGAACAGTGCATTCGTTTCACAATTTTGGTGAAAATTAAATTGTGCACATCTCTCCATTGACCATGGTAAGTAAACGCGTGCCCAGTAAATTTTGTTTTTTTATCATGACACAAATTTAAGGACGAAGAAGCGCAAAGGTTGGCTATAATGAGGAAGGCATTTCAAATGTTCGACAACACAAAATGCGGATTTATTGACACAGTCAAAATTTGCACGATATTGAATAGCATGGGCCAGCTGTTCGACGACAAAGAGTTACAGGCGCTAATAGAAGAAAACGATCCGGATAATGTCTGAAAAGTCAACTTCGACGGTTTTATCGCAATTGCCTCCCACTTTTTGGAGGAGGAGGATGCGGAAAGTACACATCAAGAGTTGAAGGAAGCTTTCAGGTGTGCTTTTTCGCTTTACTAGTTTAGCGTGTACTTAGACTGTATTTTAGACTATACGACAAAGAAGGTAACGGTTACATAACAACCGGTACTTTAAAGGAAATTTTGAAAGCCTTAGATGACAAATTAACTAGTGGAGAATTAGACGGTATTATTGCCGAAATTGATACTGATGGATCCGGTACTGTTGACTTTGATGGTAACGCCCTCACTTTTATAAAAATGTAGTCACGCGTTTTCCTTTTAGAGTTTATGGAAATGATGACTGGAGATTAAAAATTACAAACCCATTAAACTACAGTCTAGCAATAAGTATTCAATTTAAGTAATTATCTCTAATAAATGTGATTTTTTCTTTTGGCGTTTTTTTGCATGGTATGCATCATTAAAGTAAGAAACAAGTGCCAAAAGTTTGTGCGAAACAAAACGTTTGATGAATTAGTATTTTTTTCTAACTGGCACTTGGTTATTTTGGGGTTCAGAATCACGAAAATTTGGTATTGAGCTGTATATTTTTCTTCTCGAAACATATAAAGGTTGGTCGGTTTTGGGGGTGCATAGGGTAGTGGCAACATGGCTTGTTGAAAGCAGATCCACTTCCTCAAGAATTTATTTCTATTCAGTCTCCCTATAATTATTTGAAGTAATATACTATCGAAATTCTATGGATTCGGCTGCATTGACAAAAATAATTCCCTAAGTGATCACTTTCACAGCAAATGTTACTTTCGATTTATAATGATTCTTGGCATAACCATGTTGAAAATTTAAAATCTTACTTTCTAAGGCCCTAACGTAAGGTTGTACTTAAATGGGAGACGCTTTAAAAACTGAAATTTAGTTGAAATTCCTTCCTTTTAAATTTAATCTATTTAATAAGATAAAATAACAAATTAATTAACACTTCCACGATACTCCTTTATGTTACGGTTTGAATCTTTAAACCACATCGTCTACGCTGCTAAGATCTTCACACAATAACCCAAGTCCTCCTCAATTCCATAGTTGAAGAGTGGCTCTCGGGTTCGGCCCCTGATACTACAATGAGTAAGACTTAAATTGTCTACAAGTGCCACAAATCTGGAAAGAAACCACACGCAGTCCCCTGTGCGGTAGGGGTATTCTTTCCCGCCCCTACACGGCTAAATATACATACAGGAGTTAAAAAAGGCGGTTGTTCGAGGAGGGTTCGGGATAGTAAGCGGTGCTCGAGACAAGGAGAGATCGGGGACAGACAGTCTTCCCGAAGTGGTAGCGCGGTTCCCACTGAAGTCGATCTTTTTTTATTGTAAGTAGAACAAGTTAAAAAGTAATCATAAACGATTTAGAAAAGCTCATTTCCACTTGCATTCATTTCCCATTTGTAAGATGCAACTTCTGTTAAAATCGTAAAAGTTCGGCCACAAATATGAAAGATAGCGTTGCAAATGTGCAATTCATTTTTGACGTGCTACTTCAATTTCAGTTTATAAGAAGAATTTCATTTCAATTTTTTTCTAAATAAGAAAGCTGGAACTGCGCATGCGCAAACCTAAATTTTGAAACCAATAATGTTAGATTTTCCTTTGTTCCAAGCGCCTATGTATCAAATTTCTTAAATGCTTCCATAGATAAAAAAAGTTGGCACTGCCCATGCGCAAAACCAAATTTTGAAACTGGCGTTTGATTTTTCTTTATTCCAAGTGCCTATGTATCAAATTTTATTCAAATATTTTTATAAATAAAAAAGTTTGCAATTCGGTTTATAAATGGTCGAGATGCGAAAAGGGCACTGTGAATTTTGAATCGATTCGACTCAACTTTTGGCATTGCGTATTATATGGCTAAAGCTATGCCCATATTGAATTTCATGCAATTCAGTTCACAACTAACGGAGATGTCAAAGCGATCGGACATTTCTAAACAAAGTTATCTTTCACACGGACAGATAGATGGGCAGACAGACAAAGGAACAGACGGACAGACCAACAGACAGACGATAGACAGCAATACAAAATTATAAACGATATCTAGGATCGTTAATAAACGGCAAAAGTATAAAATTATGGAACATGTAAAAAACGGTTTGTTGGTTTTTTTACAATAACTTTTTTAGCAACAAACGCAGAAAAAATTCCTTCCTTGGTGCAAGCCTCGACACCATAACGAACCAAATAGCGAAAAAAGTAGAACAATAACTCTTAAGATAAAGAACGTCGCAACGAACGAGCGGACGGACGGACGAAGTGGCCACAATCGCGCATTTTATTTTTATTTTTGTGGAAATGCGCTAAAAAGGAGATTCGAAAGAAATCAGTAGGTATAGGCGGTGAGTGTGTTCTCGTTCTGGAACAGCAAGTATCGACCCTTGGTACCTTTTAGGTAGCCAAACACGCACCTTGCACACTTCCAGTGTTCCAAATCCATAACACGAATTGAACTTGCTTAGATAGCTCACCAAGTATGCAATATCTGGACACCAGATACGTGGAGACTACCTATCAATTGCCGATACGAAACATCGGCAGATCCCCTTTCGATTTCTTAAAGTTTGTACCAAATTCTATCGGGGTCTTCACTGGCTTGCATTCGTTCATGTCTAATCGTTCCAGCAGCTGCCCCACATACTTCTCTTTGTCGCAAGTTACGCACCCTTCACACCTTTTCGTCTTGATCCTCAATCCAAGGCATCCGTGCATTGTTTTAGATCCATCCGTGAAGAGGAATGCATCTAAAACAATGTAGGGAGCTTTAAAGGAAAAAAGGTCGGCTATCAATTTTTAAATTTCGTGCCACAATTTGTAATTACTTACATTTGCATTAGATTTTGATATTTGTGGTTGGGTAACTAAAAATTGCAGTCCCTGACAGGGACCCGGACCCAAATGAAATATCGGTTCCGGTTCTGTTTACATTTGAGCGAAAATATTTATACCGGTTCCGGTCCGGTTTCGGTTCTAAAAAGAAATACCGGTTCGGTTCTGCGCATTTTTTTCGGTTCATAACGGTTATTTGCGGTTCTAGTCTTTTAGAAAATATGGCATTCAAAAAATTCATTATAACAACGTGATTTGTTAATTAATAGGTGTGAAAAAGAAGTCATGAATATCAAAACGTGACGTATCGTCAGTGTAGCTAATGTATAACGACAAGGGGAATAAAGAAGGAAGAGGGAAATATGTATTTAAACTTAATTTATTACTAAAAACAGAAAAAAAATACTCAAAAAGTAAAAAAATACGTATTGTTTTTTTATTTTCTAAAACCCCCTCCTTTTATTATTTACATTTACAGTAGGGGCTAAATTAGCGCCACGGCCCGCCCCCCGTAATGCCTTCAATTTCGACCCCTTATTAAAAATTTATAATCCACCGATGGCAATAATAGAATAATATTTTATCAATTGGTTCAACGTGGTTGCCGGCGCGTCCTTCCACTTCCAATAACCGGTTAAGAACCGTAAAAAACTGAAAAAAGTAATATGTGTTCCGGTTCTCAGTACGTTTCCATTTCTGAAGGAATAACGGTTTCGGTTCGGTTTTCGGTCCAGAAAAAAAATACCGGTTTCGGTCCGGTTTTCGGTTCGGTCCGGGTCCCTGGTCCAGGACCCTTAAAATCGTCACTTAAACAAATCGGCCTTGCTGAACCAAAAAATGCACAATTTTCTTTATTAAAATTTCCATAATAAGGCACAATAAGGCAATTGACAGTTAATGTATGTACGTTACCTACACATCAGTTTATATTAAAGAATTCTATAGCCACTGTGTATCCACATATACAGTGTGTCCCCGGATGGACTGAACAAGAGGGAAACAATTTTTAATTTTAACTTTACGCAAAAATGTCATTCTTTATAAAAATTTTTGCTTGCCTCAAAACCACCTATTCTGAAATAAAAATCTAGATATTCCTTTTAGTAGCTGGGAAAATTAGAAAAAAACGCAAAATCTACAGCGGAAATTTTTCTAAGTTGCATGTTTTTGATTAAATCAGACTATCCTTGTATCTTCCATGGCAACCTGATAAGCAAATCAAGTTAAAAAAGACACCATAGAGCTTAAGAAAAAGAATGACATTTTTGCGTAAAGTTAAAATTATAAATGTTTCCCTCTTGTTCAGTCCGTCCGGGGACACACTGTATAATACAAGAATTTCAATAAATAGGTATCAAGATTGGGGCTTAAAAACAATTTACGGTTATGGAAACCTATGTCGTCAACATTTGACAGGTAAACACTCAACCTTGTTTGCGATTTGGTATTTCGCAATCTGATAAGTTTATTAATAAATAAATTATCAAAACTACTTAAAAACGTCTTCAAACACTCTCAAAGACTAAGACCTTCAAACCGGCAATCTTTTCTGGCGAGAGGTTTATTAGATCAAAATGCATTAATAATCCGTTTCTGCTATTTACATCAGAACCGAAATGTATAGGCTAAATTCTGGTCTCAACTGACAGCTGTTAAAACCAGAAGGAAATGACTACTTGATACCTGAAATTTATTGTGAGGACGAGTCTGTTGAGATATCGTATCTGAATAAATACGTTTCCCAACGTATCGCTGAATGTCAACAAAGCTATGGTAAAAGTCCAAAAACTGTTCTATTTTTATATCGAGAGCGGCGAATTCTTATGGAAAAATAACTCTTGCAAATTTACCACTGTAGGTACTACATATATGCGACTCCCCATAAATTTTTAAATGGGATGAAGGGTTTCGTTGGGACTCCTTGTATGTACGCTATAAAAATTTACCCAAAATCGTCCTGAAACCTTAATTTTCATGCCTACTTTCTGTCAGGAAATTTGAGTTTCCATGACAGAGGCAGATCAGACTACGTTTCCTGCCGCTTGTCACTTTACTGGCCGCAGCTATCACTTTCCGGCCGCACCGTCACTTTACCGACCGCATTTTTGACATTCCTAAATGTCTATAATGACTCTTGTCATCACTGACAGATTGACAAAACTGTTTTATATACAAATTGAAATGTTATACAATATACGATTTCTGGTAAAATTTAATACAAAACTCGTCAGTAAAATGACATTACCTGACTCGGAAATTAAAGTACTCGGCCCCAAGGAGCCGCACTTCAATATTTCCTCGCCGGTAATGTGTCATGTTCCTGACTTTTATGTAAATAATATGTTTGTGCGTTTCCCGCACCTTACACCCCCCTTTCTCTTAACTCTAACTACGACTTCAGCTTTAACTCTATAGCATGCAAACTTTACGCCGTAATCCAAACCAGGCGATGTCAAAATCGTTATTTGTAAACCGAGTTCTTTAGGGATACGTCTAAAGAAATTAGTTAAATATCAAAGACCTGAATTTGATGCATTGTTGATGCCACGTGCGTCATGAT